ACACATTTCTTTTAATCATCAGCATGGAAGCATGTCCTCTGGAATGGAGGTCCAAGCATGAAGGGGCATACAAATGTTTAGCATCTGGCACGGAAATATCTTGCAACACCGGCTACAACAGTGCCATGCGAACGTCTGTTCTTACTTTCAGGTGACATTATAAATAAGAAGCAGGCAGCATTATCTCCTGTTAATGTAAACAAATTTGTTTGTCTTACCAATTGCCTGAAGAAGAAGTGGACTTTTGTTTTTAAGTGCAGTTATGTAAAAAAAAAAATCTGCATTTGTAAGTTGCACTTTCACGATAAAGAGATTGCAGTACAACACTTGTATGAAGTGAATTGAAAAATACTTTTTCTTTTATCTTTTTTACATGGCAAATATTTGTAATCAAATAATATAAAGTGAGCACTGTACACTTTGTATTCTATGTTGTAATTGAAATCAATATTTGAAAACGTAGAAAAACATCCAAAAATATTTATAATATATTTAAATTAGTATTCTATTATTAACAGTGTTTAAAACTGTGATTAATTGCAAATATTTTTATCTCATGATTAATTGCAATTCTTTTTTTAATCATTTGACAGCCGTATATATATATATATATTTGTATAGCCATTGTTTATTTTCATTTTATCACAAAAGCACTTATCCACAGATTTAAAATACACAAACACTTAAAGATTAAGGAACAAAAACACAGGGGACTTTTATGTCTATGTACTCCATAAGAGAGGGACTTTCTAGGGACAGTTTGGTATGTATTTTCCCAGGATCAGGGCCTAATTTAGTTAATTCAGGACAGAGGATTACGTGGTGTCCCAGTGAAGTCAGTGGGGCTCTGCACAGGAGAAAGGGTCCATACCTGGAAATTGCATCAGGCCCAACGTCACTTAAGCTGACAGGAACCATTTTGTTTCTGTTTTCTCATGAGAGGGCAAATACATTCTTACTGTGAGGCTACTTCTCTCTCCAGCCCATGGGAAAGTGCCATTTTCACAAACATTTAAGAAGAAAAGCCATGTTAGAGGAGGATTTGTCATAGAAGGACCTGATCCTGACTGGTGCTGGGTGCCCCAGACTCACTGATCCCAGTGGGAGCTGCAGGTACCATGCTCACACAGTTTTCAGGGTAACTGTGTTGAAAAACATAGGACAAAGGGCCAGCTGCCAAGAGGAAGCCCCCTGCACAGTGGCATCGAAGCTCACAAGACAGGGGCCCGCTGTTCTCTGCTCAAATGCTTCTTAGTGGCTCCCGACTGGACCCAGGCTGCTGTGGGACAACAAGCACCACACCTGCCACGTCCCACAGCTCCCTAGTGCAGATTCTCAGGATCAGGCCCTAAATGACCACACTGAACAAGACACAATTAGGGCCCCATGGCCCCTCTGGGGCTCACACAAACCTGTACACAGCGGGGATGTCCTCACCTCCAAGTCCCAAGAAAGCTATTCCCGGCCCTGCCTGGCCAACACCGATGCAGACAGCTTCTGCTGTTGCCATAGCAACAGTTCTCTGTGTGCCACCGTCACTCTCCTCCGGATTCCAGGGAAGGTTGACATCATGGAATGGCCCCGCCCAGCCAGCTGGGGGACAAGGCCTGCTGCCAAGGGTTCCGGGGTGCACAATGCCACTGAGTCTGGAAATGAGAGGGAAATCACTGGTGAATATGGCTGGAGGAATAATCAAAGCCTTCTGATGCCAGCCTGCATCTCCTGACACTGTAATTTTTAGGGAAGGGATTTAAAAGCCATTTCCAAACCCTTGGTATCATGTCAGTGAGCTGTCTTTAAAATTCCTCTCAGGTCAGTGATGTCTCTGGGAGTCACACAAGATTTTGGACCAGACTCTGCATAGCCACTAAGCAGCGGCCTGACTGCAAGTGAATGGGAGTCTTTCCACTGTGCCTGGCCCTAGAACAAGAAAAGGGATATGCAGTGTTGTTGTGGTGTGCTGCCATTCCTTTTCTTGAGACAAGGTGGGTGAGGTAATATCTTTTATTGGACCAACTTCTGTTCTCTGGTTGAGAACAGAAGTTGGTCCAATAAAAGATACTACCTCACTCACATTGTCTCAAGAAAAGGAATGGCAGCACACCACATAGCAACCTGCCACCTGATTGGGAATGGACAGTAATGAGCGATGGACACAAGGGATCCAGCCCCAACACAGTGTGGCCCCAATCCTGGGTGGGTTGTACCTGCCCCAACAGATACCTGAGGGGGTCTGTCTTTTTTTTAAAAACATTTTGACACTACTTGCATAGCTTTTCATGCCAATAAAGTCTCCTTGAATTGAACTGAAGTTAACTTTAGTGGACTTTGGATCGGACCCAGGTGAGCAAGAGGGTTGTAGGACACATGAAGTTTCTCTCCTTTTGCCCATTCCCACAATGTCTGGGTGCAATCACAATCCCTACAGCACACAGACTGCTCCCTCCCACTACCCACTTGATACGCAAAACATGCCAAAAGCAATGACGGGGAGGAGGGGACGGGGAGTAGCGTTGGCTGATCGCAAAAAAAAAAAAGAACACACCACAGTTTCCTCAGGATAGTGCAGCATCTGCACACTGGGGGCTTCCAGAGCAACTTCCGTGGTGGAGCAGAACTCACCCTAGGCAGAGTGATATATAAATGTCACAATCAAACCTCCCACAAGGTTTGCAAGGTTTGCCACAAGGACTCGTCATTTTTTTTCCCCAAGAGAGTGTAACGCATCAAAAAGGAAGGGAGTTGAATCCACTCTGTTTATTTAAGAAATTAAGGAGATGCTGAGTTTGCTATGCAATTCTAACAAGATAGCACTTTGCATTCTTAGGTTGCCTCATCAGGGGATCACAAAGCACTATGCAAACATTGATTAAACCTCACAACCATCCCACTTCCAAGACAAAATTGCTACACTGGGGATGAGTCATAAGATTGTGATGCTACCTTAGCACCTGGAGATGCAAAGGAATAATGTTTCACAGATCCCAAAAGTGAGTTCAGGACCCATAGGAACCTGTAATTGCAGGACGCCTTGTGAAAAGCTATATAATCCTGACAATAATTGGGTGACAGTCTTTCCTGTGAGATCATGTTATACTAGCTCCATTTTACTGGCTGGGGAAACCGAGGCACAAAGCAATTTAATGACTTGCCCAAGACCATACAGCAAATCAGGGCTCTGAACCAGGAACAGAATCCAGGAATCCTGACTCCCAGTTTCCTGCTCTAATCTCTAGGAAATACTTCTGTTTATTCACATCAATGCACAGTGAATTCCCAGAGCCTAGTGAAACTGATATAATAATTGATAATCACTCACTGAGCTGAAAAGGGCTGAATGATCTGCCCCACATTTGTTTTGAAAAGGGTTGTCATGCTTAGGAAGGAGCAGAAGTCTTTGTAGAATCAGAGTCCAGTTGAAGTACACTGACATGAGGTCTTGCAACTGCTCTTCTTTCATTTTTGACCCAACACAAATCTGCTATTCTCTCATCAGTGTTATTGCCTGGTGTGGAGATGGGAATTGTCTTGAGTCATTCTGAGCATCTTGAGTTATTCTGATAGGCAAAGAATAAAAAACACAACACACTTGTTGCAGAGGTTGCAATTTGTAGGGTACTTTGATATTCTTTGGGAGGAATGGTGCTCTAGAAATTTAAAATATTATTAGTTCAGGTTTACTTAGGCTGCTGGATTGTGCTGGAATGTTGGACTAAGTCCTGAGTTCTATACCTGGCTCTATCACTAACTCACTGTGTGATCATGGGCCAGTCACGTAAATTGTCCATGCCTCCATTTCCTCATCCGCAAAATGGGGATAATAATTCTTACCTAGCAAACAGGAAGAAATCCCACCTGTCCCCAAAATTTCCAGGGTCATCCCACTTTAAATAAGTGAAAATGTGCCAAGCTTCATAATTATGGATCCTAATGTAGCCTGAACATGCCTACACATTTTGAATGTTTAAAAAAAATATGTGACCCTGCATTTTATTATTCTGAATTCTTGTCATCAGGAGTGCTGAGTCATTAAGCCACATTTGGTGACATTTTGCACTGTGGGTTGGTGGCACTTCACCGTGATATGGCTATGCTTTGCCCCAACATGGTGATGCTTCATTGGGATGTTTCTCCACAACAGTTCGCTGTGATGCTTTATCATGACACAGTGACACTTCACCGTGATGTGGTGCTACTTTGCTATGATGCTTTCCTGTGGCCTGGTGATGCTCTGTTATGGGATTATGACCCTTTGGTGTGACTATTTCTCCATGACACACTTCCATGATGGAGGGATGCATTGCTGTGAGGTGAACGCTTCTCCAGGACACTATGATACTTGGTGGTGACCCATTGCCATGATACAGTGACACTTTACAGTGACCTCTTATCATGACACTTTGCTGTAACATTTGGAGGTGACCCATTACCATAATACTTGGTGGTGACTGTTGCTGTGACACAGCGACACTTGACAGTAGGGTTGCCATTTCAAAAAATAAGGGACTGTTTTTTTAGCACTCTCACCCCACTGCTCCTCCCAACATTATTATGATAATCAATCAATAAAATAATAATAATAATTAATAATATAATAAGCAGTACTCACCTACATTCGCGTGGGGTATTTCTTGCTGCTTTTTGCAGCACTCAATAACTCCCGATCTTGTTCAGAGATGAAAAAATAAAGGACATCCTTGTAATAAGGGACTGCTGGCCACCTTATTTGGCGGTGACCCACTGCCAGGAGGCTTTACATGACACTTCATGGTGGTGCCGTGATAACTCAGGGCGATACTAGCGCAGTCCGCTGCCATGACGGCCAGGCGTTCGCCTTCAGCCTGGTCCCGCCATTGGGCCCCCTGAGCCTCCATCCCCGGGGGAGGAAAGGGGGCGGGCCGGTTTGAGCCCGGAACGGCGGTGTCCGCGGCTGCGGTTCCGGGGGGAAGGCTGGGGAGGCCGGACCGCGTCCTGCTGGCGGAGCCGACGGGCGGAGGGGGCTGGTTACTCGCTGTTCCGGGACCCGCAGCAGCAGCACCCGCAGGCACAGACCCCGCGCCCGTGAGTGACAGGGCGGGGGTCCGGGTCCCTCCTCCACCGGCTACAGCCTCCCAGGCCGTGGCTCCTTCAGGGGAAGACTCCCCCCACCCCCCGTTCGAGCGAGGGGGTCAGGCCTCCGCAAGGGATGGCGGGGGGCCGGGCCTAGGGGCTGGGACTTGGTGGGGAGGGGGTGCCGGGGATGAGGGGCGAGGTGCAGGGTCGGGGCTGGGGGAAGGGAGTAGGGGGAGGAGCAGGGTGCCTGGGGTGCAGGGTCGGGGCTGGGGGGGGGAGGGGCTTTCCATCTTCAATTGTAATCCCTTAAAATTCCCAATGCATCCGTTTGCCGACCCCTCCTCCCCCCGCTTGGACTGGTTGGGAATAGACAGTGGATCACGCTGGAGCCTTGTCTGTGTCTTGAGGGTACTGATGGTATCTGAGTGCACCTCCCATCCTGGGCTCACCATACTGCCTTGCAAATGTGAACAAATTATCCAGCATCACGGTGAGATGAATACCTGATTTTGCGGAGAGTCTCAGAGGCAAGATGGTAGTTAGGGGGCTCATTCACATTGGAAGTCAATACATTTAAGTTCTTAACTGCTGTTTGTGCCTTTGAAATTCCCTCCCCTCCCCCAGTGTTACAGATGGGGAAACAGAGGCATAGAGATTTAAACCTTCTTATTGATGAGGTATGAGGAGTGATGATGCGCCTAGGGGCCTGATCCAGTATTCTTTTGGAGGCTGGGGGATGCAGGGAATAATGTTGTTTAAGTTGCTTTTCTATATTTCAACAACATTATTTGCTAGTTCTCTTGCTGACTTCTTTTTGTTTCATGTCACGTCTTATGCATGACGTGATGCAAAAGGAACATCTTGTATCAGGAGGTGATAGAAAACCAGCTATGTTTATCCATGAAAACAGCAGCATATATCTGCTATATAGCTATATCTGTGTATATCCTGGAGCTGGGGCCACTATGAGAGAGAAAAGAACACTATTAATTGAATGGAACAACAAATGGGACTAAGTATTACTTGGTGTTACTATCCCAGTGAGGACATTAAATCAGGGACATTGTAGCAAAATTGTACAGAAATTTATTTTCTTGATTTTAATGTTATTTTGAGGGGATTAATTCTGACACAAACACAAAAGGACTGTGAAGAACATAGCCTGTTTACTGTACAAAATGCCTGCAGCATACTGTGAACATCTTCTATTCACATTCCTGTAAAAGGGTCAGGTGTAGACATGCCCATTTATCTAAATGTATACAGGTGATTCATGACATCCAGTACTGTTAATCTTGTAGTGGAATGATCTTTATAATTCTCTGAAGCCCCTTCATGCATGTGAAAAGTGTTTCACACGTTGCATTAGAGTTGCATGTGCTCAACACCCCCCAGGAATAGGTTCCAAAAGATTTATTAGTCACATTTATTAGCAAATAATAAATAGGTACTGATAATTTGAGAAGCCTGCAAAACTAAAGATAGCAAATCTAAACATCATCTTGATTAATCAACAACCTCATTAGGGCAAAATATTAAATTTTCCCTATGCGTTCATAATATATCATGTTGATGGAATATACGTATGATTGTTTCTTGATCTGACCATACAAGATTTTTATAAATTAGGCCGCAAAAACAATATGTAAAGCTAAACCTTTAATATATACAGGAGTTAGGGAATTATTATTATGCCCATTTTACATATAAAGAACTGAGGCACAGATTGGTCATAAAGGAAATCTGTGACAGAGCGGAGAATTGTGTCCAGATCTCCTGAGTTCCTGTCTGGTGCCTTAACCACAAGACCATCCTTTTGAAGCTTTTTTCATATGCTGAGGATGTCTTCTCTTGTAGATGGTATAATTTACTGCTTTCCAGTCTCCTAGCAATGTTGTGCATCTTGATTGTTTGTGAAGTGCTCTTTGATTCTTGAATAGGTGCTATGGAATTCGAAAGTATTGTTATACTGCTCTTGCTTCTTGAGTTCAAATGTTAAAGGCTGTTATGAAACACCACAATACAGAGGGAGTATTTGGTGTTTCCGTAAAGTTTAGTTTATATATTGGCTTGATGTTCCTATTTTAAAAGAAACATGAACATTGCACTTCTTTTTTGTACCTACTATAGATTCTTTTTACCTACTAAGATTGAAAAGCAAGTTGTCAGCCTCCACTCCAAACCCCGCTTTGTCTCCTGCATTTATAATGGTGTTAAATATATTTAAAAGTGTTTTTATTTTATAAGGGGGGGTTGCACTCAGAGGCTTGCTATGTGAAAGGGGTCACCAGTACAAAAGTTTGAGAACCACTGGTTTAAAGGAAGCTGTATCAGAAAGCGGAGTTTCATTATATTAGTCATTTTTTAAAATAATCTAGTTGACAAGTGTTCCTGTAAAAAGAGGGTGTATTCAGCATTAGAATTGGAAGTCTGAGGAGTACAAAGTATGTAACTGTTGCTTCTACTAAAAAGTAAATATACATTTAATAGAATTGGAAAGTGAGTTACAGTATCATGCAACTTCATCTATTTATTCTGTGGATATGTGGCTTTGTTAGCATTCCTCTTACCTCTGGGACATACAGTTGTCCAGACCCTAACCTGATCTTATACCAAATACTGACCCTAGGTCAGTGCTGTACTGTTTAATGGGTGCCATCTTTTTCTCGTAAGTGTGTGAAGTATAAATATTTTCTGGCAGTTTTTTGGAAGTGTGAGAGAAACATCCCATTCCCCACCCCCCAGTGTCCTAGATAACCTTTCCTTCCTTGATAAAATTGTTTAGAGTGTCCAGCGTAGTATGCAGCTTACTGAGCGCATGATGGGTGTCACATTTGTCTACACCATCACTGTGCTAAATGTATTAAACTCATTATTTGTAAGGTGCTTAACTTTTCTTCTGTCTTATTCTCTGTAACCCAGCCATTGTTTAGTGAGATTGTGAATTTTGCAGCTGGATAAGGGCTTCTAGTCATACTATTTGGGTATGATTAGTTATTGTTTGTATCATGGTGAAGAGCTGAAATAGGACATACTTTCACTTTTTTCATCCTTTTTTTTCTCCCCTTAGGTCAGGTCTTGAAGTGTAAGGTGCAGGCTTCTCTTCACGGTGCATGGACGGAAAGCCAATGCGCAGGTAAGGTGCAGAACAAGAAATGATTCTTCTCTGATCAAAACCTGACATTGATATTGAGTTGATTTTGTAAGTAGCTAGCCCATGACATGTTTATTTGAGGTGTGTATTGTACAACTAACAATATTTATTTTAAGGGGCAAAACTAAACATCTGTTAACATGAATATGCTGTTAGAGAAAGGAAGTATAGAAGATATGTGTTGCCATAATCATCCATTTTAAAATAGTTCACTGTGTTGCTTAAAAAATGTACTTTGGACCACTTATTTTATGGTGTGATTATACCAATATTTCCTCATGAACCATCTAGCAGTATTTCTTAAACCTAATCATGCTCCTGATGTGCGTTACTGTGACCTTTACTGTAGACTCCAGTTCTCTACAGGCTGAGGGGATTTGTCTCTTATTTGTGGATAACTAATTGCATCTACTGTAATGGGCTGTGGACACATCTGCAATCTCTTCCTGTATAATGCTGACATCAGCTATGTCAGAAACAGTCTCTGTCCTGTAAAGGAAAGAAGTATTGTGTTGTTAAAAAGGGACATTGACCAGCCTGTTTGACGTGAATTGTATCTGCCCATTTTGATGATTTTAATAATGAGTGTGCCATAGTTATGCTCTATAGCAGATATATTTATGTATTTTTAAACAGGCTGCCTACAAAAGGCCTATCTGTGTTTGCATGGTTGAGAATCACTTTTCAAAGGTATTGGACAGCCAAGACTCATGAATATCACCTAGCCTGATATACTGGTTGTGTCCCTTAGGTCAAAGTATCTGTTGGGGAAAACTTATTAGATGCACACTGGTAATCACATAAACACTACAGTAGGAAAAGAGGTGGGATTTTAGCATAAGCCACTTTGTAGAGGGATATTAATTACTGCATTTGCAGAAACGAGTGCTAACATAAACTTGGTTGTGTAACAGGGTGGTAGGAATTGCATTGTTTATTAGCTCAGTAATGTCATTCTACAAACCCTTATTGAGTTAAATGAACCCCTCAACAACCAGAAAAAGATTATGTATGCTACTGCTTCAGTTACGCTAATAAATACATCCTGGGACGTGACACAGGTGTCATTGTATCATTCAGCATTTTGCTGAGACAAGGAGACTGATTTAGGCTGTGAGGGGACACAGTTGGCTTTCTACTGTGAGTTTTTTTTCCTCAGAGGATGGACTGAATAATCTACCAGATATTTCCATCTTGATCTTCTGCAGTGGGAGCAGTTTAAACATTTTTTAGCAACCATAAGGCCACATCTATTCTATTCAGGTTCTTGTACTGCCCTCATCACTGTAGTACCTGAATGCTTTGCCTAAGAGCATAAAGCAGTGTGATAAGCATTTGCTATGTGTGGCCTCCCTCCCCCCCCCCTTTTTGTGTGTGTATGTGTGTGTGTGCAAGGGAAAAAAATGTGAGTTTTTTTTTAAAATTGTTTCTGCATTTATTTTGGCTGCTGTGCTGTATGACAAGGAATGGAAAGTGTTGAGGTTTGAGGTTGTTTTTCGATCCTGTGGAAGTTCATTTCTCAGCCTTAGCTCTGTCTCCTGCACAGACAAGTTTACCCTGGCAATGAACAGCTCCATTGTGCCTGAGCAGCAGATTTGTCTATCATGGTCCTAATCCTGGAACATTAGACAAATTTTTTTAGATATACTGGGTCCAGACCCTCTAGCACCTTGAAGAGGACAGAGATCTTGAATTTGACTCAGTGTTCTATAGGAAGCTAGTGGAGAGAGCAGATGACAGTTGTGATGTGCTAATGCTAACTTGTGTTGTTGAGGTGTTTGTGCTGTGTACTAACTGGAGTTTCCTAAGAGCTGACAGTTTCATGTCCAAGTATATTGCATTGCTGTAGTCCAGCTAAAAGCTGACAATGGCATGGATCTTTTTTTGTGGGAGGGGACTCCTAATCTTTTGCATATCTCTGGGAGCTCTGTGTGGGCCATGAAGTTCCTGTTTTGTTTGTTGTTCTATTGCTTATTTGCTTCCAAAATGTATTTCAAACAAATCTTGCTATGAAATCAAGTTGTACTATTGGGGAAGCATTTACTTTTATCCTTAATCAATGCTCTACAGACATAGTAGCACCTTGTGTGATGGTCTTGTCAGAGCTCACAAGCAAAGTGGGGTTGGGCTGGGTCATTATTTGGATAGATGATTATGTTAGGTCTGGTTTCAGAGTAGCAGCCGTGTTGGTCTGTATCCACAAAAAGAACAGGAGTACTTGTGGCACCTTAGAGACTAAGGCCTTGGCTACACTTGCGCATTATAGCGCAATAAAGCCGCCAAGAGCGCTCTACCTCACTCCCCGTCCACACTGGCCAGGCACGTAGAACGCTCTGACTCTGCGGCTGGAGCGCTCCTGGTACTCCACCTCCCCGAGAGGAATAACATTTGTTGTGCTCTCGCTGGAGTGCTGCGGCGCCAGTGTGGACACCTAATACGCTCTGATTGGCCTCCGGAAGTGTCCCACAATGCCTGTTCTAGCCACTCTGGTCATCACTTTTGAACTCTTCTGCCCTGTCCTCAGGTGACCAAGCGTCAGACCCGCCCTTTAAATTCCCTGGGAATTTTGAAAATCCCCTTCCTGTTTGCTCAGCCAGGTGTGGAGTGTTCTCAGCGCATCTTTCCAGGAGGCTGTGCCTCCACGCGCCAGGCGATCCCCAGTATGGAGCAATGGCAAGGTGCTGGATCTCATCAGTGTTTGGGGGGAGGAAGCTGTGCAGTCCCAGCTGTGCTCCAGTCGTAGGAATTACGATACCTTCGGGCACATTTCAAGGGCCATGATGGACAGGGGCCATGACCGGGATGCGGTGCAGTGTCGGGTTAAAGTAAAGGAGCTGCGGAATGCCTACTGCAAAGCCCGCGAGGCAAACGGCCGCTCCGGTGCTGCCCCCGCGACCTGCAAATTCTACAAAAAGCTGGACGTGATACTTGGGGGCGATCCCACCTCCACTGCAACGACCACCATGGACACTTCCGAGCCCAGCACAGCAAGGGTGGGGGGGGGAGGAGGAGGAAAGCACGAGCGATGGTGCTGAGGCGGGGGGAGACACCCCGGAATCCCTAGATGCATGCAGCCAGGAGCTCTTCTCGAGCCAGGAGGAAGGCAGCCAGTCGCAGCGTCCGGTGCTTGGGGAAGGACAAACAACAGAGGAGGTTCCTGGTAAGCGGCTGTCTTTTCAGGAAGGAAGTTTTTAGGTACGGGCTCTTTGGGCGAGGAGAGTAAGGGCTGCATGCATGCCTAGATGCGGAATAGCGCATTGATGTGGTTTATCACATCGCGGTAATCGGCATCGGTGATCTCTTCAAAAGTCTCAGCCAGAACATGAGCAATGCGCCTGCACAGGTTTATTGGGAGAGCCAGCGTGGTTCTTGTTCCAGTCAGGCTAACGTGTCTGCGCCACTGTGCTGTGAGGGGCGGGGGGACCATTGCGGCCACAGGCAAGCTGCGTATGGGCTAAGGCGGAAGCCACATTGTAGGAGAAGACCCTCCCTTGCTTCCCTGGTCACCCTCAGCAGCGAGATATCTTCCAGGATGAACTCCTGTGGAGAATGTTGGGACAGTGTTCAGTGTAGGTGCCCCCTGCAGCTGTTGGCTCTCCCCAAGGCACAGAAACCCAGAGGTGGGCTGGTGCCAGAATAGGAATATGCGTCCCATCTATCGCCCCTCCGCAGTTAGGGAAACCCATTTGTTCAAAGCCAGCCACAATGTCATGCACGTTACCTGGAGTCACAGTTCTTCTGAGCAAGATTCGATTAATGGCCCTGCAAACTTGCATCAACACAATTCCAACCATCGACTTTCCCACTCCAAACTGGTTAGCGACCGATCGGCAGCTATCTGGAGTTGGCAGCTTCCAGATTGCAATAGCCACCCACTTCTCCACCGGCAGGGCAGCTCTCAATCTCGTGTCCTTGTGCCGCGGGGTGGGGGCGAGCTCAGCACACAGTCCCATGAAAGTGGCTTTTCTCATCCGAAAGTTCTGCAGCCACTGCTCGTCATCCCAGACTTGCAGGATGATGTGATCCCTCCGCTCAGTGCTTGTTTCCCAAGCCCAAAAGCGGCGTTCCACGGTGGAGAGCATGTCCGTGAATATGAGAAGCAATTTCGTGTCGTATGCGTTACACGACTTGATATTATCGTCGGACTCCTCACTGTCACTTTGGATCTTAAGAAGTAACTCGACTGCCAAACGAGACATGCTGGCGAGACTCGTCAGCATGTTCCGCAGCAGTTTGGGCTCCATTCCCGCAGACCGAAAGGGAAGACAAAGCGCACTCTGCACAGAAACCGTTGAAAGATGGCGCCAAATGTGGATGGAAACACAGGGATTGCTGGGATGCGAAGCGATGCATCATGGGGTGTTGGGACAGAACCCAGAAGCCCTGCACCCCATGCCCCCTTCGAACAAGCCACAGCGCCAGAATGGGAAGAGGTGCTCTGTGGGATAGCTGCCCATAGTGCACCGCTCCAAATGCTGCTTCAAGTGCTGCGAAGTGGCCACGCCAGTGCACTTGCAGCTGTCAGTGTGGACAGACTGGAGCGCTTTCCCTGGTGCGCTCTCTGAAGGCTGGTTTAACCCAAAGCGCTCTACATCTGCAAGTGTAGCCATGGCCTAACAAATTTATTTGAGCATAAGCTTTCGTGGACTAGAGCCCACTTCATCAGATGCATAGAATGGAACATATAGTAAGAAGATATACACACAGAGAACATGAAAAGGTGGACGTTGCCATACCAACTCTAAGAGACTAATTAATTAAGATGAGCTATTATCAGCAGGAGAAAAAACCTTTTGTAGTGATAATCAAGATGGCCCATTTCAGACAGTTGGCAAAAAGGTGTGAGGATACTTAACATGGGGAAATAGGTTCAATTTGTGTAATGACCCAGCCACTCCCAGTCTCTATTCAAGCCAAAATTAATAGTATCTAGTTTGCATATTAATTCAAGTTCAGCAGTTTCTCGTTGGAGTCTGTTTTTG